TGCCAGACAGTGGTGATGGACATGGGTTGGGGTGGAGCTGAGCATGTACAGGGCTGGAGCTGCAGCCACAGAACAGATGGCTGGGCTGGGCTGGGGCTGTGGGGACCGGAGGAAACCCTCAAGCCTCTACGTGGTCTTGTCGAGCTCACAAACCCACCTCATCTGCAGCCTGTCATCCCCACTGCTGCGCCTTGCCATACCCCAGGTCAGGGCCACTGTCCTCTCAGGCCTGGAAGACTGCAGCAACTTCTTCACCTGGCTCCCATCCCCTGTCCACTCCCTGTAGACACAGCCAGAGGGGGCTTTCAGAACTTTGCCATTTTGAAAAATGCACCTCTCTGGCCAAGACCCTTCAATGGCCAGAGAGGTACATTCAGCATCAAGGTCATAATTTCATGTCCTGGCATTTGAGGCCCTTAGCAATAGAACCCTACTCCCAATTTGTGCAGCCTCCTCTTCCCAAATTACACTCCAGCTGCACTGGGCCATTTGCAATCCAGTCACCATGTCTGTGGCCTTTGTCACAAGCCATTCCTGTCCACTGCAGAAATGCTTGTGCTGTGAGGAGCAGGTGTGTGCCATTGCACTGGGGCACCTTTCCCAATCCTTCTCTTGGTGGCTCTTCAGCTCCTTTCGACAGCCACCGGGCACCTGCTTTATAGCAGGTGCTGGGATGATCAAATGTCCAGGGCTGGTGATAGCACCCAGTCAAAGGCAGGCAGATCCCTGAAGCCAGGAGAGTTCTGGGCTCCTGGGCCAGCTGCCACCCCCCCATCCTTCCACCCACTCTGCACCTGCTTTCTCCCCTCCCTCACACCTGCACCTGTGACTCACCTGTACATATTCAAACCTGTCCCAGGGACTGGCCCAGTGCCAGGCCAGGCTGGAGACAGCAATAGTCTAGATGGTGGCCAGTGCCCTGTGGCTCTCCTAACAATTCCCCTTAATACAGCCTCTGATGGGCTGAAAGGAAGGGACTGAGAATTAGGTGGTCTTCAAAAAGGCTTTGTTGAAACATAAGACTTGAGCAGGACACCAGGTTCCACAGAGTGCTGGGCACAACGTGGTTTCAAGGAAACCACATTGCACATTGGTGGGGAGAGAAACAGGTTATGGCAGCAACCAGTTTACAGGCGCACCATGGGTGTTTACAGGCCTTGTGCTAGGGGCTACGCCCATGTTGATTGCATTTTACCCTCGCAACACCCCAGAGGTATAGGCATCGTTCGCATCCCCAGCTTACAGAAGAACAAGCTCAGTGAGTAGGTGCCTTGCTCTGGGTCCCGCAGGAGGGATCCACTCCCTGGCACCAACCGCTGCTAGCCGTTGCTGGGAGTGAACGATGCTGGGAGAGGGCAACTTCTGGGAGCAGAAACCAGCCCCGGCTGGAGGAGGCAGAGGCAGCTACACCATTAAGAAGGAACGATAGATGCCAGGCCTCGGGGCCTGCAAAATGGCCGACAGGGCAGCAAGGATGAGCCCGGTGTGAGGGGCCGGATGAGCCAGCCCTTGGAAGGCGGGGAGGCTGAGCCCTGATTCTGGAACTCCCAAGGAGGAACCCAGAGAATGTTAACTCATGGGTGGAGAGGCAGCCTGAGAAAAGGCTGATGCGAAGGGGAAGGAAAAGTGGCTGGTGTGTAGTCTGGAAAGGAATCTGGCTCAGGGATGGAGGCCACACTGGGGAAAGTCCAGCTCTGTCCACAAGAGGGCTCCTGGCAGCAGGCAGCAAAGCCCACCTGAGGAGCAGAGTGGGGCTGGTTGCTGGTTCCCCCAAGCCTCTTGGGAGGAAGGCTAAGAAGGGGACATGACATGCCTAATCGTGACTCTGACCCTGGAATACCAGCAGTCAGAAAGAAGTGGAGATGGGCAAGAGGTACGTTTGCTTCCCAAGATCCTATCCCTGCCTCGGGACAGTCCCCTTTCTGCTGAGAAACGCATCAGCAGGCTCCTGGAGGCCGCCCTTGGTAACATGAAAAAGTTTTTCCCAATTAACCTTCCAGAGGGATGGCTCCTTCACAGGTCCCAATTCTTTGTCTCTTTCTGACAAAGGTAACTCGACAGTAATTCTTTTCTTCAGATTGATGTAATCTATCGCTGAGTAACACACTACTTCAATGATTGTCATTTCCAGAATTCTATTTTTAATCTGCCTAGTCATTTTCAGACTTTTTGCTCATTGTTTTCCAGTGCCACCTTCAGAGGTTTCATATTTTATATTCTGTATCTGGTGGTAGCAGTATCTGAAGCCCCCGGGGTCGCAATCAATTACTGTTCCTGATGACTTCGCTCACGATGGCTCATGTCGTTGGAGGTTCAGTAGTTTTTCTGGACAGCTTATAATTTGTTGACACACAGTATTGATCCTGAAGGTCCTTAGATAATTATCTTAATTTCTCAGCTCCAGGATTCTTTGACCTTCCTTCAGTATAAATCTGAACCCCAGCCCCAAGAGAGAGAAGATCTAAAATTACAGAGTCTCTGGTGAGATTTTTTTTTTTTTTTTTTGGAGACTGGGTCTTGCTGTTGTTGTCCAGGCTGGAGTACGGTGGCACAATCATGGCTCACTGCAGCCTCAACCTTCTGGGCTCAGGCGGCCCTCCCACCTCAGCTTCCCAAGTTGCTGGGACACAGATGCCCAGCTAACTTTTTAATTTTTGTAGAGATGGGGGTCTCACTATGTTGACCAGGTTAGTCTCAAATTCCTGGGCTCCAGCGATACCAGCCTCCCAAAGTGCTGGGATTACAGGTGTGGGCCACTATGTGCAGCCCAATTCTTTTTTTTTTTTCTCAAGCAGGGACAGAGATGTTTCCAATTCAGTTTCCATTGTAGATGGGCAGATTTTCCCGCTGCCTTTTCATGGTGCCAAAGGTGCTGAGCTACCTGCCTTCGTAGAAAGGCCCCGGTTTTGTTTCTGCACTTTGTATGCTCAAAACCAAGTCTCACATTGCCCTGGAGGCAGTCAATCCCTCCAGCTCTTGAGTTCGTGGAATGTCCTGTCTATCTATGACCTCAGCAATGCAGTTAAAAAAGTACATTCGGCCGGGCGTGGTGGCTCAAGCCTGTAATCCCAGCACTTTGGGAGGCCGAGGCGGGTGGATCACGAGGTCAAGAGATCGAGACCATCCTGGTCAACATGGTGAAACCCCGTCTCTACTAAAAATACAAAAAATTAGCTGGGCATGGTGGCGTGTGCCTGTAATCCCAGCTACTCGGGGCTGGGGCAGGAGAATTGCGTGAACCCAGGAGGCGGAGGTTGCGGTGAGCCGAGATCGCGCCATTGCACTCCAGCCTGGG